TAGAAGACGGTTTCTGAAAATGTAACCTTAAGAATTCCCTCCAGGAACACGTACAAATCCAGTCATTCAGTATGCACGAAGCATAACGCGCCATACATGCTGCGTTATACCTTGCTGTAATGTCCAGCATCCTTTTATTTTCTTAAAATACTCTGAGGCAGAACTGCACTTCGCAGTGGAAGCATGTGGAGAAACTCTGGGCTGTCAGGCAAAAAACATGGATTTGAATCCTGGCCAATGCCCACCCCATGGAGAAAGATTTTTGTGCAATAATAAAATTATACAAAAGAATAACACTGAATTTGTATACTACATTTTTATTAATGTTTATATCACAGTATGTTACATATTAAAGGGTAGGGCTGTTTCAAAAAGCAAGATTATAAAAATTACAAGTAATAGGTTTATTCCATACTGAAAAGAGAAGAAAGAAAACACAACATTTTAGCTGTGGAGCCTTCTTCGGCTGTGTTTTCTTTCTTCTCTTTTCAGCATGGAATAAACCTATTACTTGTTCCTTTGCAGCCTACACATGCAGATGCAGCTACCCACCTGAACTATATAAAAATTAGTTTATTGTTACAGTTTTATGCAAAAAAAATACAAAAAACAAAATACAAAAAATGTGTCAATAAATGTGGGCAATTAATGCTTAATCTCATAACAAAGATTAACCTAATCCACACGTGAATTTATGACAGATTACTGGAAAAATGTTTAAATCAATGCTTTGCGTTGGCTCTGCAGCTAAGGATCTGCACCTGTGGCTGAAAGGTTGACGGTTCAAATCCTGCAGCCGGCAGAGGAATCCTACTCTGTTGGGCCCCTGAGCAAGGCCCTTAACCCCAACTGCTCCAAGGGTGCAGTATAAATGGCTGACCCCAAGCTTCTCTCCCCATCTGAGTGCTCATGGAGAGTAAACTGGGGTAAGCAAAAAGACAAATTCCTAATGCAAGAAATTGTATATGGCTAATGGATAACTGTATATTGTATATGGCTATGGCTTAGTGTATATTGTCTTATATTTGTTTATTTTGTCGATTGTTAAATTAGCAACAGTATCCAAGGAGGGGCAGGGCCTGGGGTAGATCAACAGCAGTTTCATTCATGGTTCATTGGCGTTCCAAATTGAATACAATATGAAAGACATCCTCTTCAAATGTTGTTTAGTTAATTTGCTATAAAAAAGGACAGAATTATATTTCTATAATTCTATATATCTAAAACTATTATTTCTTCAGTTTTAAAAAACTCTTAACACATCTAGGAAGTATTCTCTTGTGCTAGTTAAAGCCTCTTTTAAGAAAAAGTAATTGTTTGTTAATTTTCACTTTTTAAGGCTACAACAGCAACTCGCCAACATATTTAAGATTGGTATTAATTTTTTGAATTATTAAAAAATTAAATGATTATATCCTCATCAGTGCCTGCCACGTGAGATGCCTGGTTTCAAATCCCAGCCAACGCCCATTCATGTGGGCATAACCTTTCTCCAATTATAGAATTTTATGTGTTTATCTATTTTATTTTTTAATATATTAAAATGAAAGTAGGGCTGTTTAACAAAGCAAAATTATTCCGATACATAAACAAATAGTTTATAGGTCACTGTGAATGCAATGTGCTTTTTTAGGTTGACTTATGCATTAAAATAATTTATTAATAAATTATCCATTAAAATTATATATGGCGTAATGCTAACGTCAGACTCAAGTAACTGTAATTCTACTTCAGATTTTGATTATGAGAAATATTTTACACATACTGAATTGTAAGTGGCTTTAAAACCATATGCTATCATACTGTATTTACTGTATACACAGTATATTTATACAATATACCGTTCATCCTGCAGTTCATTGACTTGTAAGCTATTGTTTCTGCATTTCTTTGGATATCACTTCATGTGATCCATGTGTATAGCACATCTGAAATTATAGTCCATATTCACATGGCCAACATTTAGAAAAATATACACACTGTGAAGTAATTAAGATCAGTTTTAAATAGACAATACCTCATAATAATAATGATAGATTTGGACCACCTTTATTGACACAATGAGCTGTAGCAAGCACATTGCGCTGCGTTTTTGCTGCTTTTATCTCAAGATATACAGTAAAATTGTTAGGCCACAGCCTTCAGGTTTTAGGGCCATGGCAAAGGCAAGGTGAGCATAAAATGCAACTTCCCTCAGGGGTCTTTGGGAACGCTTTTGAGAGATGATAAAGGAAGGAGCTTTATGAATAATGTGAGCTGAGAGCATTTATATATTATCAACCAAGAAACTGAACATTTTAAACTTTTAAGTTTAAGGTGAAGAAAGGTCTGACATGATTTGTCTTGATTTCAGCCTTTACATCAACAAAAGCTGAAATTTCAATAAGGGTGTTCAGACTTTAGATATGCACTTTAAATTGATAACATTTATAACACATTATACTTCATTTTTTTATTTTCAGATTCCAAAATTTCCTTTTAGCTACATAATTCCATATACAGTAGATTTAAAGTACAGTAGGGAAACAGATTAAATGAAGTAATCGTTTCACTAACATCTAACAAGTGCCATCTATCAATCGTCTTTGTTCAGTGAACCACACAGCCAAAGTATACCATACTATGCTGCAGAGCCTCTAATGCAGCAATGAGTATCACTGTGTATTCTGAGTTGTTACATCCGTGTCGAAAGAAAAAACATTAAAATCAGCACCTATATGCCTTTTTATAATGTCATATCATTTTCCAAAACACTTTATACCATACGGTGTCACAAGGACCCAGAGCCTACCCAGCAAGCAACAAGCGCAAGGCAGGGTACACCCTGGAGGGGTTGCCAGTCAATCGCAGGGCAAGTGCAAGTCAATCATACATGTGGACAATCTGGAGGCCACGGTAAAGGCCAAGGGGAGAAATTTGGCCCAGACACCAGGATAACTCCCTACCTTTATCGAGAAATGCCCAGGGATCTTTAATGTCCACTGAGAGTCAGGACCTCGGTTTAATGTCTCATCCAAAAGAAGGTGCCCACTACAGTATAGTGTCCCCATCACTATACTGGGGCATAAGGACCCACACAGACCGCATGGTGGGCGCCCCCCGCTGGTCCCACTAACACCATAGCAGCAACCATAGCTTCCCAGGAGGTCTCCCATCCAGGTACCTACCAGGCTCAACCCTCCTTAGCTTCAGTGGGTAGCTAGTTGAGAGCTGCAGGGTGATATAGCAGCAGGCTCCTTTTATAATGTTTTTGTGTAATTCTGTCATACATTATTTCTAGTATGGTATTACAGATTTTTGCATATAGTACCCGAAGAGCTGTCCATAGTGAGATTTCAGCAGTGTATGGGTTTTAAGTACAAGGTGCGTACAGCATGTAATGTATGTAATATTAATTAAGCTGAATAGTCCAACTGGCACATCATAACAGCCAATCACTTTGTTGTGTCAACACTGGCACCCTGTGCCACACAGCTTTGCACAACTAAGCAGTATTTCCCTTGTGCAGCCATGGCCAGTAAGAATAAACCATTGAAGACATTTCAATCACTTGCTCATGTTTAATAAATCTACTATTGTAACATGATGTCCCATATATATATATATATTTTTTTTTTTTGCATTGAACTGGATTTGGCACAAGATTTAAATTTCTTATATTATCTCATTTGTAAATACTGAGCTCTTTTCAGGTTCTTTTCACTGTAATGTTGCCAAGTAGGTTTAAATTATTTTGCCTTTTGACAAGTTATTAAATTCATTTATGACAGTGTGTAGAGTCTTTCCATAGACATATTAATGTTCCAGTAAAACACACAGTCATTTATGCACACAAAACAAAAATATGTGAAGTATGTGTTTATTTTATAGCAAACCATGCACCATGCAACACTGCAAGAGTGGGCTCTAGGCTACTGAATTGTTAAGCTATTTATTTTTATCAAAGAAATAAACAATATAAAATCTTTCCTCTAACTACATTGATTATTCTTGGAATGATTCTTTGGCACACATCTGATAATAATTTTCTTGATTGTTTTTATTTTCTATTTTCACTTTTCTAATCACTATGAAATGCTTTGGGAATATTAATGTTATTAATGATATAATTTAAAGAATGGCAGAAACTGCCTAGTAGAGAGTAGGATTCAACTTAATTTAATTCTTTACAATTGACACAGGAAAGTGCCTGACACTCTACTGAAATTACAGTGGCAGTAGCAGTGTAACATAAACTAATTACAAATATTTCTATACATCTTGCCTCAGAGCTCACAGCTTAATAAAGAGAGTTCAGTATTCTCACCAAGACAAAATCTAACTGTTAAAACTAAACACTAAGAAGGCAATATGTTCACATAAACATGTATGAATCACTTCTAGGAGTCTTCAGATTAGATGTGCATCACTTTTCACCACAGTTGGATACAACTAACTTATATTGAAAAATACAATTAACTGAAATTACGCAAATCCTCGTTTAATAATTTTATAGGCAAAGTCTAAAAGCCACAACATAGAGGTCGTGAGTTTTGAAAACAGGATTCGTTTTTAAATTTTCTATTTTGAGTTAATTACTCTCTATATTAAGTTAACTGATTTCAATTATCAGCATGGAACTGTGGGTAAGTACCCCCACAGACTCGATTAAAATGTGTTAGAAACGCACGAGTACATCATGTTGCCATGGGGCAAAAGAACAAAATACTTTCGTTATCCACAATGTTTTCGGAAAGCTTGTGCAAAACACTACCACTGTCACTGGATATTTACAGTTAACCTGCAATTTACGGTAGCCTAAGGCAATATTTCTCAAGTGGCAAAGTGTGTAAACAAGCAGTTGAACTCGTACATTAAGAAGAGGAACTTCTCTCAGACACATGACCCATACATACAGATTTAGTATAGTTAACGCCTTCTGATTCTCGTTATAATCGCCGAATTAAAATAAAAAGAAAGCATATGCACACTGAAGTTACTAAAATAAATGAATACCATACCTTCTGCAATCAGTTCTTCCACCGTAACCTGGTATCGGCCGACACCAAACACTCGTCCAATGTAACTACTGACACCGGAACCCGAACCGGACCCGGATCCTGCTCCAAGCCCCCCACTCTCCGACTTTGGCATACGAGAAAACTTCTTCATTCTTGAAAACTACAAATCGTTATATCCAGTACGTATTCTAGAGCTAATGAAACCCCCAACAGGAAATCCCGGTTTTCCCTATCTGTTCATCCCACATCTGCGGCTGTCCTTCATATTCTAAATTCCGAAACAAAATACGTATTTGTTACTAGAATGCCATAGGCGTAATAACTTCACATGCAGTGCTCAGTGCTGTTTAGAGTTTCAGTTCGGTGATCAAAAAATATTAATCGTCGATGAACGTTAATCGACAGGTTGGATGACTTTAAAAACGTCAGGAGCTAAAGAACATAATGGCTTTAGAGTAAACAGGCCTCGTGTGCAATAACATAACTAATAAATAATATTAAGTAGATTTGGGAGTGCAATATAGCTTAGCATCAATCAAAGGAAATACCTCCCCTCTCTACCACACCACGATTTCCCCACTTCCCTTTTGCACACTGTCAGCGCACAAAGACAGACAACAACAGCTACTTTTACCCTAAGGAGCACATAACCAGTCCCTTTCCACGAACTATCCCCTAAATAAATCTTGAAAAATTAATTAATATCCTGTGACATTATTTCACGTCCCATTCGGTTAAACTTCCAACTCTCTTGACTCTGCACAAATAAGTGGGTGGCTTCTTATTACCCAATACGCCTGCCTGACAACCTAACCCAGTTTTGTCTTGCCTTTCCCATTGTAATGATTGGTGTAACAACCTTACGTTCAGACATTGCCTCTCGCTGATAAGACAGGACGAATGACAGTCTATACGTCTTATCTGCTTCCTTGTTTGGTTGAGAAAGAACAGTCAGGAGGCACAGTGACAGCAAACAAAACACGCCGAAGTTAATGGTAGTGTTAAATCTAAACATCGCATGCAATTTGTTATTAAACGCTGTATAAGAGATTCAGTGTTCCTGGTGATATTTTTACAGTGAAGGGATTAATTTATCCTTAAGGTGACAATTACCAAACATTGTTAACAGTTGTTTAAAACTATCTGTAAGTGTCCATACGTGGATATTGCATATTGTAGCGTGACGGGTTCGGAGAGAGAGAGACAGAAAGAGACAACAAGCTACGACACACTGGGGTCAATTCGGATACAGTTACACAGGTATAGGGTGGTAATTGGGTACGTGGGTACTCTCTGTGGTCATTAAAAATCCCAGGGCACTTCTCGAAAAGAGTAGGGGTGTAACCCCGGTGTCCTGGCCAAATTTCCAATTGGCCCTTACTAATCATGGCCTCCTAATAATCCCCCTCTATGAATTGGCTACATTACTCTGCTCTCCTCCCCACTGATAGCTGATGTGTGGTGAGCGTTCTGGCGCACTATGGCTGCCGTCGCATCATCCAGGTGGATGCTGCACATTGGTGGTGGTGGAGGGGAGTCCCCATTACCTGTAAAGCGCTTTGAGTGGAGTGTCCAGAAAAAGCGCTATATAAGTGTAAGCAATTATTATTATTATTATTATTATTATTATTATTATTGTTATTATTAATTATTAATTACGTGTATAAAAGGGTCTAAAGCCAGTGAAACTATTTACAATCTCGCGACTATGTACACTGGTTCCCCCATTGGTCAGCTGCACTTGCCAGCAGCCCTCCTAGTCCCCGCCCTGGTCACTATTACTCCCGGCCCACCCGCGCTCTTCAGCCGCAACGCCAGGCGAGAGCGCTACACTGCCCCCACCTGAGACGTCTGGCATCCCACCTACGTCGGATAGCCCGGCTACTTCAGACACTAATTCCTCCAGCCTCTGCGGCATCCGGTGAGTGTGCCCACTGCGTCATGGTGATCTGGCGGTCTGCCCCCTAACCCCCCCAGGCCAGTGACATCTGGACCTGACTGCTCCCCAGGTTTCACCGCACACTCCCGTTCTAGCGCTGCAGGTTGTAGACCCAGACAAGGTCCCCTGGCCTGGAAGGAGTCCCCCTGCAGCACAGGTTGTAGGATAGCTTCTGCTGCACCCCTGCATGAGTCAGGTAGCTTCTGGCAAAGCTGTGCACTCACAGAATCAGCTGCTGCAGATCCCACTCTGAATCCAGCCTGCTCTCCCCTAGGGGGCGAACCTAATGCCAGATCCATTGGGGTACACAACTCCAGGCCCAGCATGAGTGAGGCCGGAGTGCACCTGGTGGACTCCTGCAAACCGGTCCGGTACGCCTAGAGGGCGAGGGGTAAGTGGTGGTCCCAGTCCCACTGGTGTCGCGAGACCAGGGTGGTCAGTTGAGTGGAGAGTGTCCGGTTAAAATGCTCCACCAACTCTTTGCTCTGGGGATGTAACGGGGTGGTCCACGTTTTCTTAATCCCCAGGTTCTGGCACATCCCCGCAAACACCTGGGACTCGAAATTACACCCCTGATCGCTATGGAGCCTAGCTAACGTCCCTCCAACAGGGCATTGGCTATGTTGGACGTGCTCTGATCTGGGAGGGTGTAAGCCTCAGGCCACTTCGTAAAGTAGTCTACCACCACCAGGATGCAGCAGCTGCCTGCCTTAGTGTGTGGAAATGGGCCCAGTATGTCCAACTCTACCCACTCCATGGGTGCCCCCACCTGATGTTGGAGGGGCACCCGTGAATGATCAGGAGGACCATTCTGAGCAAGGCAGAGCATGCACGTCCAGTGGAAACACTCCATGTCCCAGTGGCAGAGACCCCAATAGAAATGGCCCTGGAGTCGCCGCAGGGTTTTCGTGGACCCGAAGTCCCCCACACCCGGCTGGCAATGCACCGCTTTGGGGACCGCCCCATGGAGCGACTGCTGCACCAGGTTTGCCAGGCCCACACTAAACGATCCGCTCAGAGACGTGGTTGCGGTGCTCGCTTCCCCCCACCGTGAGCGGCCTCCTCACTCTGCTCCTGGCAGATGCAGTGGCAGCAGTCTGCTGCCTCGCAGGGGCTCTGCAAGAGAATGTCTGCATTTTGGTGGCGAGACTCAGCACCGTGCATACTTCACGGTGTGAAGTCATACTCCTGCAGGATCTCAATTCACCTAGCCATTTAGCCCACTGGCTCCTTGATATTGAGCAGCCGGGTGAAGGACGCATGATCTGTCCGCAGTTTTAAATGGGTCCCGAACAGGTAGAGCTTGAAGTGGCGAACCGCTGAGACTACAGCCAGCAACTCCCTCCGGGTGATGCAATAATTCCTCTCAGCCTTGCTGAGCACCTGGCTAAAGTACAAAATGACTCTGTCCCCGTCTGACCTCTCCTGTGCTAGCACTGTGCCCACCCCCGTATCACTGGCGTCTGTATCCAGCACATAGGGCAGTGTCGGATCCGGGAAGACCAGGATGAGGGCCCCCACAGCACGCCTGGTTTCTGCCCCACACTTGGCCCTCGCATTCCCACCAATGTTGCGCTTTCGGGCTTGTGGTATATTGGTCGTTAGTGAAAAGATTTAATCAATTAATCTCTTTACTGTGTGCATTTTAATCCACTTAGTATTGAATATTTATGTGGAATTTTACCACGAAAGGGAAATTTTAGTAGCTAAGCATAAAAAGCAGAGGAGCATGACGCATGTGAAGGTCATAAACGATATTAATTTAGGAACTTAAACATATTTTGTAAACTGTATGTTGCTGGTAATGGTATTTTAAAGAACAAATATACACCAATATTTCATTTCTCCCTAAACATTTTAAGCATCAAAGTCTTACATGTAGTTCTTCTGACCATATTACTCTATCTGTATTGCTGTTTCAGTGTGAAGGTCATAAACTATATTAATTTGGGAACATAAACATATTATGTAAACTGTATGTTGCTTGTATTGGTATTATAAAGAATATAAACACCAATATTCCAGTTCACCCTAAACATTTTAAGCATCAAAGTCTTGCATGTAGGCGAAATAGAACCGTTGCTTGGAGAACCACCCTGTGAGCTTATCTCACCGTTGAGGGGCAAGTTTATCTCACCGTTGCACTTGGCCCCCGCATTCCCCCCAGCAGCCGCCCCGTCAACCGCCCGGCCTGGCGGCCTGAGAGTCAGCTCTGGCATGCTTGCCCCGACACCCACTGCTCCAACAGGCCACAGCGACGCCTGCCACTGCTGCCTCTGCTTCCCGCTCCGGTCAACCCGCGCGCCCGGACACCTCCCGTCCTGCCCACCGCTAGACTGATTCGTTCCCCCTGCCCCACCAACTCTCGCCGGCCCAAGTCAAGGCAACCACCCACCTGCTGCAACCAGTCCAACCCCAGTCCTTGTGGATTTGGGTGAGACAGAAAGCGTGTTTTACCCTCATAAACCCAAACTGCATGGTGAGCACCTGCTTGCCAAGGACCTCTCTGTCACCATCCTCAGATGCAGCCTGGTGGTTTCTCATCCTGGGTGTCCGGCTGCTTCGGTGCCGCGCTGGCCATCTCCTCCTCCCTGTCTGATTCCCTGGGTTCGGCATCCACCGCCTGGCAGGGAGCACATCTGCTGTGCCCACCGGTGTCCTTGAACACAGCATTGGCCTGCTCAGCCAGAGCCAAGGCCTGCTCCATGGAGACCAGCAAGGCCAGCATCCCGTAGCGCTGCACCTCTGTCAGCGCCAAAGCCCGGAGGAACACCTGGAGGTCTATCTCCCAGTTTGCATCTTCTGGGAGGGTAATCCTGGTGGGATAAGTAGGCCACGTCTGTGGCCACTGGCCCCAGTGACTCTCCTGGTAGGTGCCTGCATTGAACCACCATTGCCAGCAGCAGCCCCGGTGCCTCCTCTCAGAACAGCCTCAGGAAGGCCGATGCCATACCGCTGGTCCAGCAGTGCCTGTCAGGCCTTCCCCTCCAGGACAGCGGCAAGGTGGCCTGCCATCTCCACCTGGGACCAGCCGTTTGCCCAGGCCACCATCTGGAATTGGGCCTCATAAAGCTGCCATTGTACCTTCGCGTTATAGCAGCTCGGCCGCCCTGGCGCCAGCTGGTGCAGGAACGACGGCCTGGTCCCCGCTGGTCTGGCGTCTCTTTTTTGCCATGCCGGCTGGGGAGACGTGGGAAATACCCCTTCCACCGCCGGGTAGGCCACCTTCGAGTAGCCCTGATAAGGGCTGTGACCACTAGCTCCAGGCAGCTGCTTCTCGCCCCCAGAAGGTGCTTTCAGGGGTCACTCAGGTGCTGGGGGAACCAGTGCTTCTCTGAATCTGACATGACTCACCATTCACTGTCCATTCTTCCTGCTTCTGACACCAATGAGGCAAGACAGGGGCTCAGGCTCTTGTTAACTAATAACATAGCACTCTTTATTAATCAGACGTGCATCTGACACAGCAACCACAACAGAAAGAGAGAGACAAGAGGCTACAACACGCTGGGGTCAATTTGGGTACAGCTACACTGGTATAGGGCGGTAATTGGGTACATGTATAAAAGGTGAGCAAAACCAGGGGAACTATTTAGTTAAGTCGGGCGATCTCACAATCGTGTATACCGGTTCCGCCATTGGTCAGCCGCACTGGCCAGCAGCTCTCCTAGTGCCAGCACCCTAGGTTTGGAATTGAACCCAACACTGCAAGGCACCAATGCTGACCACTGTGCCATTATGCTGCCCTTTCAGGTGCTCTAATATTGTCACGTACAGTTCTTTCCGGGCCCTATGCAGACGACACGATCCAGAATAGTGAAGACACAAGGGGAAAAACGGTCATGCAGGAAAA